ATGCGACCGACTTTGTTGGCGATACGCTTATCCTGAGTACGACGTAACTAACTTAGCCTGTATGTGCTTTCCGGGTTCGGCTGCACTACTACAAATGAGCACTGCCTAGGCTTACTTGGGTACCTGACTTCTCTTAACGAGTGGCTGCCAGCACTAAATCAGGGAGAGGGGGGGCTAAGGGTATGTGTGGGTTTGAGAGAGAGCCGTATGCACGAGAAGATTACCACAAAGAGGAATCTCACAAAGGATTGCCGCTTTTCTCTAAGCAGTAGCAGACAACAACGTTATTATCAACAAAGCCGCCCGGCCCCAGTTGTACGGGGGAGAAGTTCAGGCTCATGTATTCCCGGACTGGACAAATTAAGAAGAGCTTTGGCAGCCTAGTTCGCGGGCAACTTTTTGTCGATGCGTCAATGTCGGATGCGCACTGACATTCATTCTTCTTGATACAGTAGTACTGCGTACTTGACTTCATCGGGTTTTTCAATAGTCTGTCTCATCATGTGTGGAATGAATGTGGTTTTCCCCTTTCTCTTAATTGGCCGAGGCACCAACACAGACACCTAACTCTCTCCTCCCCGGGGAAGATTAGACTCGGCGATGGCTGTGCAAGTTCCGTAGGAACACGGCGAACACTAATCATGTACCCGGTAAGTCTAACTCTGACCCAGGCGGGAAATTGGGGGTCGGGGAGGTAGTGAAGAAGAAAGGGAAAAAATAATCGTGAACCGAAAAAGAAAGAAAAGGAAAAAGAAGCAAAAAGAGGGTTGGTTGTCTTGTGTAAGCGAAATAATCCTTTGGAACTGGCTGAAGGAAAAAAGAGTAAGCCCAAGCGACTGCAGACGGCCAAAGCTCGACCTCGCGCCCGCAACTTTATCACCGCAGTGGCCAAGGCTACTGGTCAATAAGCTCCGGGGGGCTTTGAAGGCAAAAAAGGAAAGGCTTTAGCTGGCGTTCGTCTGGTGATTTTCCTTGAGGCAAATATCGGTAAGTAGACAGTCACGGAAGAGACAATCGCGCTGCAGAAAGCAAGACTTGTTACCTTCACCTCCGGTGTGATAGGTTCTACTCCGTAGAGAAGATCGGAGTGGTCTACTGTATGATAAGTCGCCCAGTAAGACAAAAATATATTTTCTTCTAAAAAAAATAGAAAAAGAATACAACCAGAAATAAAAGGTCGATCAGGATATTACGTGGCCGATTGCTGTGCATATGACTGATCCTAGAGTAGTTTAAATGGCCGTTTCTGTGAGGCTTTAACTTTGCCATCCGAAGTCTAATAGTACCTGCTTGCTGTCTGACCATGGTCAGCTATCGCTGGGATCCACTATCTTACTGATCAGACAGTTGTGTCAGGCGAACCACCATTCTGGATAAGAATTGTCAAGCTTTTCATGGATATAGGGTTTTTCTGTTCATGCTTAAGGAACAGCGGCGGCTAAGAGTGCAGCAGAGGGAAGAGCACGGAGTAGGCTGCACCGAACTCCGTAGTACAGACTGTACAGCACACGTAGAGGGTAGAACGTAGATCGACTAAATCGACCACTGTTAGCCGTAAAGTCCAACCCCTGCTTTGCTTGCTACCAGGATGAGGATGGTTATCAAGGGAGCCTCGAACAAGTTTGGAGGCGAAATTGGCGACGCGATGGAGCTTACAGTAAGTCCGGAAGCTCCGTAATGGCGGGTTCAAATCTGATCTTCGCAAATCGCTCAGTTGTCTGTCACTTTCTCTCACGCTTGTCTTGCGGAACCCCCCGCCAAACTTTCCGAATACGCATATAGATATCCTGTCGTCTTTGCTATTCTTCAAACATATTCCATTGATAATAAAGCACGCAATTTCCATACGAAGAAATTGCTTCAGATCGAAGGATCAGATGGCCAGTAATACGAGTACGAACCGCCACAGTGGCTGTCGCTTGGTTTGCCGATAGCCGGTAATCCGAGGAATTGGACATTTTCCATCTGAGTCAAGGCAGGTCAGACATGGATCATATACGCCGGCTAGTCCGACGGGCTAACCCCCTAGCCAAAAAAATGTCGTCAGCTTTGACCAGAAATGGTCACTTTTCTTTCGGGCGGAACCGCTGCGTAACCCCGGGATGATCCAACCCTAAATCATAGAGAAGGTACTCCGGAGCAAGTCCGTTTTGTGCGAGCAGGATTGACGGAATGAGTATTAGTTTTATTGTTTCTTCATGTGGTTGATTCCTGAATTGGACGAGCATCGATCCGTGACAGTTCTTGACACAGGCAAGAGATTTGATGAGCAGGGGAGTGTCGGCTACCAAGATGAGTGAATGTGTGCAATGGAGGCTCTAAAATGGATGCATAATCCACGATAATGCATGTATCTTCATAAGACCATCCATTACATTGACAGGAACTGAAAAGTCGACCATGGAGCAAGTGGATTCCCAGCCACAGTGGAGGTCATGAAGGGGGGAAGAGGGGTGGGTGGAAAAAGTAAAAAGAAAAAGGGAAAGTGGAAACCTGGTAAGGATACCACTGTCCGTTCCGAGTTCTGTTTGGGATTTTTCTCTAAGCGAGCTTAAGGTTCCTCGTGTTGGATTAAGCTTAAGCTTCAGAAAGTCGCGCACTAATCAGTTTCCAGTTGGCTTCAAGCGATCAGAGCGCCACTGGTATCTTACTAGTGTAATACCACTTTCTGCTCACGGAGTTTGTATGGATTACTTAGAATCTTCTCAATTTCTCTGAATCATGAGTTCTCGACAGGCAAAAAGTTCCTCCCCCCCGCCGGGCCCCGAGGAGACTAGCCGAGACCTGGTCTCTCTGTGGTCCTTCAGCTGATTAGGATGAGGTTGATAGGACAGTTGGTAAAAGGCAAGGAGAACAGTCCCGGATCGTATGGTATTATCAATCAATACTTGGATGTATCCGATATAAACCTGCTGAGGAATGGACACCCGGTATGTGGGAATCCTACAGCCCTGTAGGCAGGAGTTTGTACTACCCATCACGTACACAGACTGTTGTTCTGGGTGCAGGTCGATGTATACGTGCATTTTCTAGGGTGGTGATGTGATGATATTAAGACTACATGTATGCCCAGTGTTATATCTAACTCCCGCAATCAAATTGCCTGTCTTTGTTTAGACTCCACCCCCCGGGGGGAGTCCCTCTTCTAAGGTTTGATGTTTGACAACTACTAGCTATAATTCAGAATAGATAACATGTACAACTGTATTCATATCTCCGAAACTCTGCGATACCTTACAGGAGAGCATAGATTACCTAAAGCTTAGCTAACCCGACAGTCAAGTTCAAGTGACTGCTAGCCATAGCGTAATTATAGTTAAAACAAACGAACGAATTCACCAGTCTCACTCTTCCAGTACCATGGATGACCACTAGGCGAGTGAGAAAAGGTTCAAAACAAGGTTCACTTTGTTTGTGATAAATCCAGCAACTAAGTATCAGATGAAATCATTTGCTGTGGCCTCCTCTTAATTCGTACCCACTTTCCTTGGTTCGTGGATCTGGCTGGCTGATCTTTCGCATGGCGCCTAGAAACAAGAGGTCTAAGCCATCATCCTCTGACCCTTTCTGGGGCAGAAATCACGAATGGGCGAGGATTACACTAGCTATAATCCTGAGAGACCATGAGGCAAATACAGAGAGGCGGACGCTGTCAGGGAGGAAGGGAGAAGAGTTGTCAAGAGGCTGCTGCTCCTGCTGATTGTCTAGCTGGTGGTCTTGTCGAATAATAAGCTGACATACACTTTATAATTCCGTCTATGTACCTATGAAAGTTAGTGATCTGTAGCCGACGCTTGTTATATCAACATGCAATTAAACTCGACCCAGATTTTCCGAATTAATATTGGTTCCCTTTCAATAAACCAAAACACAGCTGCTTAACCCTGTGGGGTTCAAAGTTAGGTTGCTTCCCCACCCTATCTTTGATGCTAATTCTTTCAAGTGAATTATTTTTCAATCTTTTTTGTCTTTTTTTTTTTTTTTTTTTTTTTTTTTTTTTTTTTTTTTCTTTTTTTTTTTTTTCCAGATTTATTTTAATTTTAGTTGGATTTGATTA